GGATTACCATAGTAATCTTTGCAGACAAGCTGTCTAGCAGGAGAACCATGAGTGAAATCTATCTTTCCCTCACTAGTGACCCAACTCCTAGAAGAAGAAAAATTCATTAAAAACTTATAGATTAAAATCAGACATGGTCTCTACCACCCTATGAGGTTGTCTGTTACTTACTTGAGCAACTGGATTGTTATGAACAATACCATTTTTATGAACTCTAAGTTCATCAAAAGGCTGCTGAGAGGAGGATTCAATATGCTCCTCTGGCTCAGAAGAATGAGCTTGAGTGTCTCGTAAATACGAGGTCGAAGCCCTAGAAGGCTGGATCACGGATGGCTGGCTTGCTTTAGTCCCAAACGGGGAAATAAAGCTGTGAATGCCATGAGATAATGATTGAGACCTTAAAAGAGGTCTGGTCTCGGTATAGGGAATATTACGAGGATCGTCGAATTGGACATAGACAGTACCATCATCTGTCTGAGTGATATTRCTAAAATCACTTTGAACAATAGGTTGTCTAGGAATATTCCTATCTAGGAACCATCCTTCAGGGAAAACTATTTCATCCCATTTGRTAGATCTACGGGTTTGGATCTTAGATCTATTAAAATTGGTTTCTATAAGAATAGTCTCATTAATATCTTTATCAACTCTTTTACATCTASGATTAAGAGTAAATAAAGGTTTGAAATAGATTCTATAACAAATACAGAAAACTTCTGTTCCTRCAGAATAGTTATAACCATGAGTTTTAACATTTAATGTCAAAGCATCCAGAAGGTTAACATCTGTTAAAGATAAACTGAGATTAGGATAAACATCAAAATAAACAGGGCCATGGGCCAGACTGGATTGGATCATTCCAATTAAGGATTGTTGCCAATTAAGATTTCTTCCATCTCTAAGAGCTGCAAGAAAACTTTCTGGTAATCCTACAAGAGTGAGCGGTTTAAACGCAATTTGGACAAGACCAATATGTAAAACTTATGAGTTTTGAAATAAGGCATGATATCTTTTTTATTTAAAAGACGAATCATCATTTCATCCTTATGAAGAGGAATCGARGATTCCGTGGTTTTAACAATATGTTTTAAACCAAGCTTTTCAAAAGTGCCTATTTTATAAATAAGTTTAGGCTCAACTCTGGGAATGGTCCAGTGATCAAGAAGATCAAGATGTTGAGGAATATCATATTCCTCTGTCATACTGTTATGAACAGTATCATCACCTCCAGATCTAAACAGATTCATAAGAATCGTAAAACTGGGAAGGACAGAGTTAAAACAGAGTTTGAAACGATATAGAAATACAAAAACATGGCTYTGATACCATCTATGTCTCAGAATCTAACAAAAACAATCTAAACTACTAAACTTGCCTCAAATCTCAAACCAAGGTTATAAATACCCTAAACGGCTCTCTGTATTTTCTTAATATATGATTATGTATGTTAATATAATAAGGGTGTAAAATGAAAAAGTAAGAGATCAAAAATAAATTAAATAACTAATTATAAGGATATAAAATGTAACTTAAGAATTAAAAATAATTTGATTTTAATATTATGAAAGTTTTATGGTTGTTGTTTAGTTTCAAAACTTATAAATCATGCATAAAAATGGATACCTCTTAAAGTTCAACAAGTAACCGTTTAACATGCTTTGTAATATAGTATAAATATAGATTTGTAACAAAAAAAACACCTTTTTAATATGTTTTAGTTAATTTATAATTATGTATTTAAATATGAAAGAAGTGTAAAATGAAAAATGAAATGTAAGAAATATAAAACAAATTAATTTGTATGTATTGATAATATTTATTACTATGATTAAATAAAAAAAATTCAATATTTAGCTTATTTTGAAGTATTCAAGACATAATTCTAATGATATAATTTGTAAACAAATAAACATGTTTATAACCATGGAAGATGGTGGGAGTTGGGGACGGAGGTTGCATCCAAATGTAACTGCAAAATAAACAATATACACAGCTAAGATTTAGTATTAAGTTTGATCCAACGATGGATATAAAAAAAATTATATATAAATAGGTGAAATGTGATGAATTAAATATATAGATTATAGTTTGATGTCCCATATACCTCATTCAAACCGGTTGAACCAAGTCAAACCATATCATTTTTTGTAGTTTGAGCGGTCTAGTTTGGAAAAGAGCAAAACCGGACGGTCCGGTTCGGTCTGGAACCTTTTCTGGAGGGTTTGAATGATCTAGCCAAATCGATCGCCAAATACACCAATTACTCCAACAGTAATAACTCGATCATCTATGTCATCCTTGCCTGTGTGCGCAAACCAGGCATGCAACACACATTAGTGATCTACATCAATGCCTAATCTGGTTTCTAAGCCATGAACAGCTTCCATGCAATAACCAGTGCCAAAGTCCATGCACAATTTGGACATCTATACAACCAATTCACAATCTAAAACAAGCAATGCATCATATGAAACCACACCTGCACTGCAAATAGAAACAAATAAACAAGAAAAGTTTCCTATTTCCTTCACTAAGTTACATGTGTCAAAGCAAAAAAGCCACTTGCATTGTAGTAGATCTCCATGTCTGCCAAAATAGAAAAATGAATAACTGCAACTAGATTACACATAATTTCTCAGAAAAGAGATGTTCCCTTGCCCTTTTTGTCTCCACCAATTTCAAAATGCTTGCACCTCTGCACAAAACACAGCAAGATGAGCCATTAATTAGTAATCGCACATCAATATATACATAGAATTGGGTTCCGGTGAGAATGGAATTTATGGTGAGAAGCATAAGAAGAGATCTCCACCCTTGGATCAATCCTAATTGAATGCCAACACTAATGAGCTACACCGGATCAATTCCTTTCTAAAAGTGATCAAGAGTTCAGATCTCTTTTTACGCTTCTCTCCGTAACTTCCCTTCTCACACGATCCTTAGTCTCTCTCTCTCTATATATATACACAAGGTTGGGTTCACATGAGACCAGACTATTTTCTCCCGTAAGACCACTTTTTTACAATTGAAATTTCACGGCTAAACAATGTTTATCTTCGCATCATTTAGCAGTGAAATTTCAACTATAAAAAGTTGATTACACAAGTCTCACGAAAACAGGTTGGTCTCACATGATCCCAAGTCTCTCTCTCTCTATATATATACATATATATATATATGCGCGAACATTCAAAGCTGACCTTGATCGGGTGCTGGGACACATGCTTGCAACCTTGGCATTGCAGCCTTAGCACAATCTTCTTCGTGGTTTTTGCCTGAATCATACAATTACTTGCAATCATTAGGAAATGCCCATATTCAAAAGCCTTAAGGTCATGCCAAAATGGGTTTAAACATGATCAGATTCAAATATGATAGGCAAAAAGCTCATCATAAAAACCAATTTTGAGAAGAAAAGTTGAACAAGTGAGAAGTTTGAAAAAAGTATGTTTTCACCTTCTTGTGAAACACAGGCTTTGTTTGTCCACCATAACCAGACTGTTTCCTGTCATAACGACGCTTTCCTTGTGCAGCCAAGCTATCCTTTCCCTTCTTATACTGTGTCACCTTATGCAAGGTATGCTTTCGGCAATCCTTGGACTTGCAGTAAGTCTTCTTCGTCTTAGGAACGTTAACCTGCAAAAAAGGAAAGACTTGCATCATATTTTGCTAGAAGAGCTAGTCATACAGTATTAGAGTGCATATGGTCAACTATTGGTATCAAATGGAAATGAGAACATTACAACTCTAGGACCCTATTTAGATAAGAGAAATACATAGCATAGGTTATATACATGTTAAAACATCTGCAAATATTGGCACTGGCCTTAGCTTCAACTAAAGGTTTTTGATTCACAATGTTGAAAAATGGTTCATCAAAGACCATAAAAATCAAGAAGTTCATGCCTTCTTAAACAAAACCAAATGAAAGAGAAAAGAAACTCTTCAATCCTATGCTATTTCTAAGTGATTCCTGCTACGATACAAATTGTGATTAGAGAACTAACATATTCAAGGTTAGAAAAATATTTTAATATACCAAAGTAGCAACCCGACCAACCCGTATGGGTTGGGTTGGGTTGCATTTGGTTTGGTTTGGTTTGGGTTAAGATTTTTTCAATCTGTAAGCATTGGGTTGGGTTGCTCAAATGCCCTCAAACCGATCAACCTAACCCATGATCATCCCAAGATACAATGCCCATAACTTTTTAAGAACAGTTGGGTTCAAATGTATAAAGACGAGAGTATCAGTTGCCCGTACACACAGGATTCTTTAAGATGTTTTGGCAAATACATAGATCAAATTCAAAGATCAAATTAATAAGAAAAACTTTTAATTATATGAATCAAGAATTGATCACTTGAAAAAAAAAACTAGAATACCTATTTTTCGAAAAGAATATAGGACTTTAGAACAAATCGCTGCGCATAACTGATACAAATCGCAAAATACGCATAGAAAATACATTTAGATGTCATAATTGCATCCCACGACAAATTATACAACCAGTTCAAAATCAGTGGATATACAAGTATTACATTGTAATCAGAAATTACTTAATTTAGAATCCAAGTGCATCGAATACAGATTAAGTCGAAAGTCCTTCTAGTTTTCTCAGCTACAAATACAACAAACTAGCGATCGAATGAGTAATTTGGGACGCAAATTAAAAAGAAAGATGGAAGAGGTATGAAGAGAGATTGGAGTTGTTACCATGGCTGAAGAGCTCCTGAAAGTCGAAAGACGAGATGAACAGCCGCAGATCGCTATTAGGGTTTCACCATCTCTTTGTGTGTGTTTTAAGGCTCCTGGTCTGGGCTTCATTTCTTTTCATGCAGCCCAATTTTAAATCTTCAAATGGGACAATACCTAAAAAGTCCAGCCCATTTCAGGTAAAGAACCTAAACTTGAAACATGCCATGTGGCGCTCTTCTATTGGTTAACAAAGTTACTCTTTTTGTTATTTACTATTTTCCTATTCTTGTTATTTACCATTTTGTCAATGTTGAAATGTATCAGTAGGTTGTTTAGGGTTTAGCTTTTCTTACGAATTTATATAATTGTTCTTGAGCTCTCAAAGTGTTATAATGTGATTTTGATATTATTTCATGTTTCAAATTTCTTTGTGTTTGATATTGTTTTGTGTTCCAATTTTGTAACACCTGGGATTTTAAGGCGTTTGTTTTATGATCAAACACTAACATTTGGCCTATAAGACATAAATCACGAAGGTTTTACATAATAATCATCTAGGAACATCAAATCATGTGACTTGGTGCTTGACCCAGGCTGTCGCGCAACTGTGGTTTGCAGCTCGGGAGCACACGCGGCTTGGCCCGCGAATTGAGATCGTGGCCAAGGCCATGAGAAGGGGTTTATGCGTTTAAAAGGGGTCGATTTTAGAGTTTTATCTCATTTCTCTTCTCATCTTCCTCCCTCTTTTCATGTGGTGGCTTCGGAAGTTTTTGGGCATCTTTTGGAGGCATTTTGAAGGAGATCTTAGTCAAGTTATACAAATGATTCAACTTGGATTCTCAAGATCGAAGAGGAGTTTTTTTTTGGGTATTTTGAGATGTTTGTATTTTGGGGGTTTGTGTTAATGATTGGTATTTTCTAGCTTGCTTGGCGGTTTTGAAGGGTTCTTTTAGAGAGAGATTGATTGGAGATTCCAAATCATCACCCTTGAAGCTAAAGATTTAGGTTTAGAACCTAGGTTTAACTTAACATAGCAAGGCGAGTTCAACTTGTTTTGTGAAAACTTGGTATACGCAAAAAATGTCCGATTTTGGAGTCTTAAAGATGTTTTCTTGTTATCTATCAAATGTATTAATTATTTGATGAGATTTTCATCTCTGGTTTATAAATCTTGTAAAATATTCATATTTTGAATTTTTGGACATTTCGATACATAAACCACAAGTGTGGAGATTTTGATGATTTATTCCTCTTGGGTGAATTATTTGGTGTTAATATACTTTTGATATTTTGATATTATAAATCATTCAAAAATCATTAAGTTATTGATTTGGTTTTGATTCAGATGAGTCTTAAGGACACTTGTCCGGTTTAATTTGCTCTACATCGAGTTTTGGGAATTATGTGTAGTTATGGCATATTTAATTAAAATTTTACATGTTTTGAGTGCATTGGTCATTCATTTAGGGTCGTGTAATTAGACTGTAATGTTATGAACCCATAGGCGTAGGAGTTAGTATGTTGGTTAGAAAATATTCTTGTTTTGTAGCTTGGTGACATATGAGCGATAGACATGGAGTGGTTGAGCTTGGACGTGTCGGTATTGTGGAGAGGAACCTGTGAGGGGTTGGACTCCAAGACCGCAGGTATTGAGGAGATAGGCTCCTGTAGAGTCAGACTCTAGGTACTGTGAGTAGTCTATGTTTTATTGTTTTAAGTTTATACTTTTGATGTTCTCACTATAGTTTCTAGTATGTGGTTGCCAAGTCATGGTTTGAAAGCTTGTCGTAGCACCCTATCGGGTCGTACATGAATCTAGTAGCATCCGGTGGTACTCTATTGAGTCGTCTATGGGGCTAGGTCTTGTGGTAGTGCTCATTGAAACCGTATACATAGATCGTGACTTTTATGGTGAACTCATCTAGAGGACGAGTAAAAATCTTGGTTACCCTTGGGGATTGTGGTGGTACTTATTGGAGCTGTATACGAAGCTTGGGTCTTGCGGTGGTATTCGGTAGAGTCATATATGGAGCGCAACAAACTTGAAAGATGCTCGAGAGGCTTGTTATACAATAAGGTCTTGTATGTATCTCTTCTCTCTATGTATGGTGCCAACAATTACTTCTCCTTGGTGCCAAAAACAATACCATCTCCCCTGGAAACACTGATGACAATCTCAGCAATGATCTCATGCTTTCGGTTACTTGCATCCCAACTTCATGAACATCTCATGTTGCTTCTCCATGGCTGATTTATCATCTGCATGACACTGGACGACATCATGGACTAGGGGTCTACTTCTTGAATGACCATATTGGAAGAGGCCAATGCCATCATCAACAAAAGGTCAATTTTACTACCCAATGACAGTAGAATTGGAGGGGGTAGTGCATTACTAGCTTCCTTTGGCTGCTCCGAAGCCATCACACTCACCTCTTGGCCCTCTTTATAGACTGACGGTCTAGCCCGCATGTTAACCATCTAAGATTACCATAAAAGAATGAAAACATGAGATTAAGCTAATATAAGATCAACAACTGAAACGTACCATTACATTCATCAATCTTTGGAATATAGTAAAATCAAACATGTTCATGTAACAGTATATTCAGAATAGCATTAGCTACATGAAAGTTTGTATATATTATACATAAGAATCCTCGTTACCATCATCAAAACTATCAAGCAGTGCATTTTCGTTGACTCTATAACTCTCCCATCTTAAGAGTTCTACCCACATCTCACAAATCGTCACTTAAAGCCTATGCATCTTAAGTCCATACCTAGTTTACTAAAACTAGAGTTCTAATACCAACTTGTAACATCCCTAAGATAAGAGATAATTTAAACCACAGAATAAGACAGAAAAAATACTTAATTAAATAAAATCACCTAATAATGGGGAATGGTAAAAGAGTTGACATCAAGAAAAATGGACGGTTGATAACAACCTACTAATTTAGACCAATTCTAGATTTATATTATGGTCGGGTATCACTACAGTCATCCAAAAGAATCTACCATGTGGTAACTCCAAAAGTCTTCCAAAAAAGATGTCCCAAAAATGCCTCTATCGGCAAACATCACTCTATTCAAGCATTAGTGGCCCCGCTACTTTGAGACCTTGATATACATGTCATTTAAGAAAAGTGTTAGACTTAACGGCTAGTGAGTTCAAAGAGTTATAAAATATAGGTATAAAACATTAAGACCGAAAACATATCTTTAATCAAGTCAATTCATCAATTTAAACCAATCTCGTCCATAGAAGGGCATAATACATCTTCCAATGACCGGGGGGACCTGATTTACCATTGATAGCAATCAAACACAAAAGTAAGATATTACATAAGCATCACTTATGGATTAACATTCCTTAACATCAACCACTCTCGGTTTATAGTTTAATGAGTTAACAAACTCAACTACTCGAAGTCTATTGTTTGCGAAGTCACCAAATCCAACCACACTAGGTTTGTTCCTTTGGATCTTTAATATCCTAGTTAAGCTCGTTCAATTAGAAATTACATTATATTGGTCAATGGTCAATGCCCAACTCCCATATTGCCTATGAAGACCCAATGCCTATTTCAAGTTACGGCTTAGGGAATATCATCCCATTCATATCGAATAAAACCAATTTTATGCCTATGGATCCTTTGCATTCTAGATATGTCAAACCATATCCAATACATAAGGATTTATGTATAAATAACCATTAAGTGGGTAAAATCATCATTTTTATAAAAAAAATTCAAATATATCAACATTTATAAATTTAGGTTCCAAAACTCATCACAATCTTGAAATAATCATCTCCCATTATAAAACCATTCCCACACTTATTTTATCAAAAGATATAAAGTCCCTGTTGGGTTTTAATAGAACTTGTAACCTTAAGCGCAATGGAAAATTAAAAAAAAGATTGGTACAATAATTTAGAAAACTTTTCTAAATCTAAAACCCAAGCCGGATCCAATGAAACATTTAATTTAATTTGTAGCACACCATATGGTGTTTAGGAATGTACCTTTTAGGATCTAGTGAAACAAAACTGATGCGACACTTAGAAACTGAACGCGGTTTTCTCTACAATTGATCCACACATGAACACGCATAAATCCTCCACCAGGTGCTAGCCCAAAAGAACCCTAAGTCTAAATATGTGCTTATAGACCGATAAGCGAAATTCATAGATTTGAATTCATTCAAAACTAAATTGGTCCCTAACAACCTATTTATATGAACTAGTATTATAGCCACCCTATAACTTTAAATAAAGTTTGATGTTTATCTATTATATAATTATCTAAAACTTTAAATAATTATGTTTATTTACAGATAATACCCTGTAATTATCATAATTACGGTTTAACACATAATTTATAATTATTCTTCAAGAATAATTAGTTAACTGTCAATCATGACTTTTGGGTTACTTTCAAATGGAAGCAAACGTATACTTTGTGTGCGACCCTATAGGTTTACATACTCCTTAGCAGTATCGCTGTATGACATGTGTCGTATGCATATAATAACTTACAGTTCCAAAATCTCAACTTTGACCTAGTTGGTCCAAAATCAACCAAATGAGAAATACTTAAAATGAAAGCTTTGAAGAACTAAAATACAACATTTTAACATGTATATAATTTTGTAAAAGAGTAGGATGAACTCACAATATTAGGTTTTGGTGAAACCTAACAAATCAAGAAAATTTCTAGGAAAAAAAAAAAGATGAGAGCTTGAAGTTTGAACTCTAGGCTGAATCCTTAGCTTAGATGATGTTAAATCCTTAGAAAGCCTCGTAAATCTTTTTCTCAATGCTCTTGGGTTGGAGTAAATGAAGTGAGAGAGAAAGAAAAGAGGAGAAAATGAGTTTGGAAACATAGAATGAGAGGTCAAAAAAAGATTCTAAGTGAACTGATGGGTCCTACTAGTCAGGCATAATTTCTGTCCAAACTTCCCGGCCATGAAGAATTTTTTGATTGGCATGAAGGATGATCTTCCCGTTGGTGAAGATTTCACCCCGAGAGTGAATCTTCTCCATAAAGGTAGTATGTTCTCACCCAAAACATTACACCAACTAAAAA